TTATTAATTTCTATGCAGTAGTTTTTGAGTAATGAATAAATAAAAAATTCCAAAAAGTTTTGTTACACACTGTATATGGTTTTTATGATATAATAAGGATAAAGAAAGATGCAAGAGAATTGAAAAAAAAAAAACTGCTACAGGCCTTTTCTTATACAACTAAAAAATAAGCAAGACTTTCAAATTTGAATAGACTTTGACCAGAAATCCCATTCCACTATATATGTGGCTAAAATTATTTTATAATTGACTCAGTTATTTGAAATTTTTATAGTGCCACAATTGTGGTATAATTATATAAATTTGTCGCAATTAAATTAATATGATGCAATCATGTAATTTGTTGCAATTATCAAATTTGCTGCAATTGTACCACAATTAAATTAATATAATACAATTATATAATTTGTTACAATTATCAAATTTGCTACAATTGTACTGCAATTAAATAAATATGATGCAATCATATGATTTGCCACAATTATCAAATTTGTCACAATTGTGCTGTAATTAAATTAATATGACACAATCATATGATTTGTCGCAATTATCAAATTTGCCACAACTGTGTTGCAATGCCAAAATTGTGCTGCAATTATTAACTAATTAAATTTAAAAAAATAAAAAAAAATGAAAATAGCAAATTTATTGTTTTTCTATTCATCTATCTATTAAAAATACAAAGTAATAATAATCAAACAGTTTTCTCATCATCCAAAAATACAGTTGAACAATCAGAATCATTAGCTTGGCAATATTTTTATAAAACAGCTATTGATAAAAGTCATAGACACTTTTCAGCAACATGTTATTATTGTAACAAAAAATATCAGTGGAATAAACCAAATATTCTTAAAGACTATTTAGCAAGTGAGTATGTATTTTGTCCAATTGAAATCCAAAATGAATTCCAGTTGAGAACAAAAAAAAATTTAACAAAAAAACAAAATTAGATTCAAAATAATCTTCATTAAGTAATTTTATGAAAAGTATCAAGTTAACCAATGCTAGAAGAGATACAATTAATACAATATTAGAAAGATTTTTTGTTACCTGTGCAATTCCTTTTACAGTTGCAGACCATCTATTTTTTATTGAATTTTATATACAGCTTTGTCCAGCTTATAATCCACCATGTCACACAACTATTTTCACAAATATTCTTTACTCAGAGGCAGTAGCAATCACAATCAAAATTCAAAAGGAATTATAATTAGAAGAAAATATCACAATTGTTTTGGATGGATGGATAAATCCCAACAATTGCCAATCATATAATTTTATTTTGATTATACCTAATAGACATGAATATCTTTAGGCTATTGAAGATGTATCATTAAAAAGTATTATTGAAGAGTTTTTGGCCAATTATGTTGAAAAAATCATTAATACTATTGGACAAAATAAAATTGCAGGATTGGTTACAGATGGGGCAGCCAATTGTAAGGTTGCGTGAAATATTATTGGTGAAAAATATCTGTGAATTATTACTATGTGATATATTGCATATCATATCAATTTGATTTCCAAGGATATATGCAAGCATCAGTTTGCCATTAATACAATTAATTAATAAGTGTCAAACATTGGTATTATTTTTTTGAGATCATATCAAGGGATAAGTGCACTTTGGAAATTTATTAATGAATTAAAAATTAAAGGTGGATGTATCAAAACATCAATCAAAACAAGATGGTTAACAATATATAATTGTTGTGAATCAATTATTAGACTTCGATTAGCATTTGAAGATATAAGTATTTGAATTTTTAACAAATCAATTATCTATAAGCTATTTTATATGACATTAGATTGTATTAATTAAATTTTATATCAGTTATAAAGATCCCAACAATTCTCTTTAATTCTATATTTGATTTTTAAGTTTATATTAAATTTAATAAGTGGAATATACTTCACCATTATTTTTAATAGTATTTCGAACCTCATGATTTTTTACAATTCTGTTTAATTCCAATTTTCAAAACTATAATCAACTAGTTATTGTTAATATTTATTTTAAAGAAATATAATTAAGATTAATATACTAAAGTTCCATTAGTATTACTATTATATAATATATTATATTTATAAAAACTATAATTAGTTTATTTTTATCAACTAATTAATATTTCAAATTTAATCAATCAAATATTTTTTTTTTTTTTTTTTTAAGGTGTAAATGCGGATCCGCAGTGTTTTTATTAATAAGTACCTTATACCAATTACATATGCAACGTTAGAACTCATACAAGTCAGTACATTATATACTCTATGTAGATTATCCTCCACATACCACCTTACATCCAGCACCCAGGAACCTATCACCTTGAGTAATTTCCTTTGTGACACTAGGTGGGAACCTATAGGGTGTAGAAATCCTACCACTAGTTTAAACTACATAACCTATTGGTTCAGCTTTGCCTAGAGGTGACTTGATTAAGAAGGTTAATCCAAGTGCCTCCTCACTTTATCACCAGACCTCAAATCACATTTCCAACAGCCTACGGCTTCTTTGTGGAACTGTAATCCTTCTCACCACCTGCGGCTAATTATTTTTCAAACCAATTAGGCTCTACACCGGATTGGGATATCTTGGCTAGGGTTCTAACCACCATTGAAAGGAGCGGATCAGGGTTTGGTTAAGATGGGGTACAGCCCAGTCTGTATACTCAAACGCAAGAGGAGTCTTGATTAAGGAAGTTGAACACATGCCTCTTGGCTTACCATGTTGCTCAACTACCATTGGCATACTTCTGGTGATCATCGTAGCACCATCTGGACGATCGTCGCACCTCGACACCTTTTCTGGAAATCACAATCCCAACATCCCACTGGATCAGCATGTGAATGACTTCCTATGGGAAATAGGGTTTAACAGGTTATGGCCCCAGATATTATTCTTAATTCGGTTCAACCGCCTTCACCTGAAGTTGAACTGGTATCTTGTGATCTGATCTGTGGAGTGTTAATCACTACACTATGGACCCACAGGTCTTAATCAATCAAATATTATTAAATTTCAAAATAATTTCATATAATTAAAACATTATACAATAATCAATAGAAACAAATATTATTTTGACAATAATAATTAAAACAAGATTAAATTATAAACAAATCTTATTTTAACAATAATAATTAAAACAAGATTAAATTATAAACAAATAAGCCAATCAATATATTAATAAAAATATTAACAATTATAATAACAAAATATAATTCAAGTAATATATTAATAATATTATTATTTACTTTAAACTATAGCTTGGTTATTTCTGAAAGTAATATCTTACTTTAGTTAAATGAATCAATTAGTATAATATACTTGATTCAAGATATTTTTTATATTATAATTAATCTTTTTTATATTTTTTTCAATTATTATCAAATATTTAAACACAAATAACAATATCACTACTATTATTAATAATGACTCAAGAAATAATTATCAAGAGAATATGTCATCAATATTATTATATACTTTAAGCTATAGCCTAGCCATTTCAGAAAATGCCACTATATTTCAAGAGAGTGAAATTAGTAAAGTAACATTAAATATTATTTATATTATAATTAATTTTTTTGATATTTTTTTTTTGTTTAGCATTTTTTTTTTTTACTTTTATATTTTCTTAAATTTTATTTCATATAATTTTAAGTAGGTATTTATAACTGCTTGGCACTATCTTTGATGTACATTAGTTTTAATATTTATTTTCCTTTATTACTTAGATAGTTTCTATAAACAAGCTAGCATTAGACTCACTGATCAATTAATCATGTGAGAGATACTGTCACTTTCTATATATAAAATATTTTAAAATTTTTATGATATAATAAAGAAATAATTTTATCTACTAATATATATATATATATATTGCTCACTACTGTATTTATTGAATAATATTAAAAAAGACTTTTGTAACAGATTATATATTCAATTATCAAGAATGAAATAATTATTAAAAATTAATTTGTTAAAAAACAGAGTTAATATATGTAAATTAAAATAATTAATACCAATGTTTAACAATATTATCAAATCTTCATAGTATGTTTATTATACAGTATATAATTCAAAAATAAGGTACACATAATATATGTTTTTGAGTTTAATAAGCTTATCTTGCAAGTTGATCCATATAACGTAGGCGTACTAATATTAAAAAAAGATAAATAAATATGTACTCTTTGCTTATTTTTTGCGCCGATTGTAAAGATACGGAAGGAAAGGTAACAGCCTAAGCAATTATAGCAACACTAGATATATCTGTGTTCCAAACAGCGACGCAACGCATGTACATAGATAGTACTTACGTATGTAACTTTATAATAGATTTCTTTGAATCATTGGTAAACTGTTAAATCGTGTAAGTTTTATATATTTTATGGCACAGAATAAATTCCATCTTATCTCTTCTCCGCTTGTAAATATTTCTTATAAAAAAATTGTGTCAAACAAGATTCTTTTGACAAAATGTCGACAATTATAAAGATTGTTAATTTACTGGCTTACATATTTCTTTTAGGTGCTAACGTTTATTCTGGTTTTGTTGATGACAAAGTAAGTTTATTTGTATATGGAAAATGAAAAGTTTTTTTTATCACGCATGAGCTTTGAACTTGAAGATATATAATTTCATATTTTTATTTAACATAGGATGATTCTCCATACCACAGCGGTCATAATTCTTTTATTACCCCGGCACCCTTCGCCTTTTCTATTTGGGGTGTTATCCATTTCTTGTTAGGAGGATTTGGTAAGTAATTTTTTTTTTTTCATATTTGCCCCAATCAACTTTATTTGTTCACTAATTCCCATGATTCATTGTATGCTAGTTGTTTACCAATTCTTTAGTTCAGCTACCGAAGCCGTTGTTGATGGTATTTCCTGGCATTTCCTTGCGATCGCCGTATGGAACTTCTTCTGGCTTTTCTCCTGGCAAAATGGATATCTTCTTTTCGCATGGATTTTTATCCTACTCACTTCCACCCAAATTTCCTTCGTCTACTATACCATCAAATATAAATATCCATCTCAAAATATCAACGACACGCTTTGGATTCACACCCCATTTTCCTTATATCATTCTTGGATCATCGTGTTGGCTGTGATTTCAACTTTTGTTACCTTCCTTCCTGACAAGACAAGTCACGACGATGAACCCGATCTCCTTACGAAAATATTAGTCATTATTGGATTACTCTTCCTCGAGGCAACTGCTGTTAGCTATGTTGAAAAATTCAAAGCAGATGTTGCTGGAGCTATTGTAATTACATGGTCGTTGTATGGCATTGCAGCCGAACAGACTGATCCATGGATACATTGGACTGCTCTTGTCTTAGCTATCATTTCAAATATTCACATCATCGTTCCATTCGTCAAGAAGTATTACTTTGGCTCTCGCGAAGAAAATACACGTTTGTTAGGTTAGAATTTTCGTCTGATGCGATGTTTGTATTACAATTTTTTTCATAGGTATTACTTTTCGTCGATTTAATAAGTATTAAATGTGTCTCGTGAGTAAAGTTTAAGAGCTACTAATAAACATTGACCTATTTATTTCTGTACACTTGAAGAGACGTGTAAAACAAAAATAACCGGATTTATAGTTATTCAATTATATTTAATAAAAAAATTTTTATTATCGTTACTAAGCAATTTTTGTTATATTATATTAATAAAGTGATAAAACAAATAATAAAAATTTTAATCTTGAAACTCTTTCTATTAACTTTCTAACCATTATTTCAAAGTAATATTTGATAGTTACCCTTTCGTTATTGGTCATATACAGTATATTCTTCTTAAAATACTATACCATATAAAATAAGAATATCTCCTTTATTATCTTTAAGTTATTTAAAGTATTATTTCATTTTAAAAATTTCAAGAATTTAAAATTCTTATAACAAAAAAAATACTTTTGAAAGAAAAATAATATTTTTAATTTTCTATGTATTTAAAAAACAAATAAACAAAAAATAAATGTTATAAATATATCCTTTAAGTTTTATAAGAACTTTATATTTGTATTTTTTATATTTTATATTTTATAAAATCTAAAAATTAAATAAATAATAAAGTTAATATAATATTATTTTGTTTTTATTAATTTGAATATATTTTTTTTGTTAGATTTTTTTTCAATACTTAAAGAAAAGCTTTATTTTAATTTAAAAAAAATTAAAAAGTTATTTATTTTAGAAAATTGATTAAGCAATAAATTTTTGAAAACAGTAAAAGTTTAAGTTTATTAAAATAACAAAATTTTTTTATAATTTCTTTGAATATTTTTAAACAATAATAAAATAATAAAATTAAGTAATTTTGTCTAATAACAATAGTAATAGTATATTTATTTGTCTTAATGATTTAAATCTTAAAATTATTAAAAAATTTTTAATTAAAAAAAATTTTTTTTTTAGATTAAATTTTCTTTTTTTAAATACATATACATATTATTATTTGAGTATAAGTCTTAGTTTTAAAAAGAATTTATTAAAAAAAATTTTATCAAATTTTTTAAAAATAGAAATCTTAATATAGTAAACATTATTTTTTATTTTTGAATAAGTAAATTGTATTAAAATAATATAAAATAATATCAATATAACTATAAATATATTAAATGTGATTATCCGTATATTAAAAATTTCGTATATTATTAAGATAAAAATACAGGGAAATAAGATTTTATAATTTAATACTTTTGATAAAAAAATTATATTTATTATTTTACATGTATTGATATTATCATTTAATTGATAATACAATTCTAAATTAAATATGATTTCCAATTATTTATTATATTTCACTTAGTAATTCTATTACATGTATATTAGTCATAATAAAAAACGATTCAATTTAATTTTATTACATGTATATTAGTCAAATAATAAAAAACGATTAAATTTAATTCTATTACATATATATTAGTCATTAAAAAATTAAATGATTGTTTTTTTACACGGCCACCTCATGCAAATCACGTGAAGTAACCCGATTTGTTGTAAATTATCGTGCTACTTTACCTCCTAAATAACTTTTTTTTTAAAAAAATAACTTCGCGTTGCTATAGTAAAGTGGTTGTAGATTATCATACGATCGAGATGCGTTTAAAGCATCAATGGGATCCCAAGAATTCTATGCGCAATATTGGTGAATTAATAGTAATGCATATTCTCATTGTATGTTTTATTTCATTAAACGTCTAATATTATGATTTTAACGGTTACTATGGAATCGTTGAGATAAGAATTCCTGGAATAAGAGAGAAATTAACATCAGTAATCTCATTGACTTATTTGAACAAAGTTGATCGAGAAAAAATACGATATATAATTACATAAGTCATAAAAATTATGGCACTTGAAGGAGCGGCCCTAGCCACAGTTATACCACATCCGCGGTAAAATCCAGGTATATTATGTTCTTTATATATATCTTTACAAACTTTGAAAAAACTCCTCTTTACAACTTTTCTTCCTCTAGCGAGCATTATTTCTTCATCTGTTTGTATTTGACTTTTAACCGAATCCACAGGAAACATTGTTATATTATATGCCATTCCTGCACATGCTCCAGATGCCATTAACTCTGTTAGACTTAAACCTTTCTTGTTAGATGATGGTAACTCATGAATGTTCATTGATCTATTTCTACGTTCCATGAATAACCTTGAAACAAATTCATAGGTCCCGAACCATGCGGCTCCACCAATCGTCTCTCGAAAAAATGTACCAATATGGCCACGATAAAGTCCTCTTATGCCATGCTCTTTTAAAGTATATTTAATGACTGAAGCAGGACCTGTGAATTTGGGGTTTTTCATTTCTGCTGCTGCGATTTGTATATTTTTTTCCTTTGCTTCATACATAAGCGTTTCCTGTACTTGTAACTTACACTTGATTAACTCCAAAGGGGTTAACACAAATGAGGTCAACGATCCAGATATACCGCCTGCCAAACATAATTGACTCATGCTAAATGATTCTTGATCTATGACGTTATTTATGTACAAACGGTGTCGTTCATTTACTGGAGTTGTATATTCCACAATCATCATTTTAATCTGATTATAGACGAGGAATAACATTGCATTTTCCAGCATTGCTCCTATCATTGGCGAAGACATTCCCTAAGTAATTAAATTAAAGTCAGATTTATATGAATAAATTCTGTCATAAATGTTATTTACCCTATAGAAGCCCCAGAAACCTTCGTTTTTAAATGTTTGTTTGAAGCAATCTGAAGGACCCTTAAAAATAGATTGAGTTTGAAGTCTGGTTTTTACTGTATCGAAGGGATACTCAAAAACTTTCCCAGCCATTCCTGCAACCTATTAAAAAGAAATATTTTAAAAAATATCTTTCAATAAAATTCAAGCCTTGGAGAAAAATTCTATACCGATCCAAATATTATATTCTTTATGCCCTCATTTGTTTTATGGTGGCCTTGAGTAGAGAATTCCATGGGTATCGGTGAAATTGTTTTTTCCATAGCTGACGAGATTCAACCCCCCTGGAACGTACTGTATTTAAATAGTAGTATTCCAAATGAGTCACACAAAAATTTATGCACGTACATCAAAAATGGTTTACAACTGACCGATTATCCTATAAGATAACGATATCGTTCTAATCGTATAGATCAAACAAAAATCGTGTCGCAAACAATAGCACGTTTAGATATTGCCCCACAAATATTATTTCATTTTCCGTTTTTTTTTTAGTATCACGATTATCGATTTTTATATTAGGTGAGTGTGTGCATGGACTTTATGTGTATTTCTCATGTATGTATGTCTTTTTATTCGAATTCAAATTACTATAGTGTATATCTCTTAATATAAAAAAATTTAGTACAATAAAATAATTTTCCATTTTTACCAATCATTGAATGTGATTGATGTCATATTGTTAAATATACGGTATTTGATAACGTAAAATCGTTATCAATAATTATGTTGTTAATATTTATAAATATTCTATTCAAATTTGTATAGTTAACATTTACGTACAGTATATTATAAACTATTGTTTAAAAAAAATAGACGATGATAAGATATTAATATAATGAAAAAACGATAATATATTATTAAAGGTAAAATTATAAATTTCAGGCCATTAGGCATTATTTATCTTATTTTTTTTTTATAATTGAATAAGTATATTACCTTCATTTAATTTTATACAAATTAAGCTTGTTTTTATATATTTAAATAATTATTTTAAATTTATAAGTAAAAGTTTTAAATCATAACTTATAATTTATCATTATCATTTATAGTTAATTAATTAAATTAATATCAAAAATTTATACATACCTATTTTTAAAGAATGTTTTTAATATGATATAAAATTAATATAATTTATTATAAAAAAATAATTAATTAATTAAGAAGATACTTTTTAAATAAAAATCAATAAGTTTGTTATAAATAAAAGCTGTAAAAATTGTTATTACAATATTTCAATTGACTGTCGCTAAGTGACCAGTGATCTAAGCCGTAGAAGTACACTAATCACATTGAAAGCGGAACCGATTTTCTAAAAAAATATCAGCTCAAAACTATCTCAAAATAATAATCAATATTTCAATAGCTTTGCTTTACGATATCATTATCATCAAACTAGAACACCTTCAGTTGGAATGTCTTTATCTTTCGGAGTATCTTTGTATGTCTGCTGGTTGAAACCTCGATAATTTCTAAACCAGTCATTTTTTAAACTGAATTAAATTCCTTAAACGTAATGAGAGTTAAATAAGTCGATCAATATAGTTTTCCATACCGATAGATAGACTTATAGTTATCGATTTTACTCGAGAAGACCCAATTGTGGAATGATTACATATGGTTTTCGTAACACTAATCATACTTTAAACAATCGGTTTTCTTGTGCATTTTCTCTAGTTGATCCTTTCCAGTTTGTGGAATTACGAAGAACGAATCTCGAAAAGGCAATAGAGGACAAATATTCTGTCAGTGTGAAATTTCGCAATCACTGTAATCACCGAGATTGTGTTAAGCGGCAACACTAACACTCCATTCTTGAGGCGATTTCCAAGCAAAAAAGAAAAAAAGGTATTGTGCATTTATCCCTTTTTTTTTATTGGTAGCGTAGCGATTAATAGTATAATCGCTTTTTTATGGCATAGTTGCCTAGATGCTATTATCTCACGGTCACATGGTAATCATCAAGGTCCAATCCCTAATTATTATCGTCTACTTAGTATATAAAATCGGAATTCCAACATTAACTAACCACATTTCTTCTTTTGTAGACTCGCTTATATTTCATTGCTACTTGCTCATGTATAAATATATTTTCTTTTAATTGAGTAAATATTAAATAATTAAATGTATAAATATAAATAACTTTATAAAATAATAAAAAGATATTATTGTTGATTATAAAAATAATAATAATTAAAATTTTTTTAAAAAATTATTCAATAGTTTCTAATATACATATATAATTTTAAATTAAAATATAAATAATTCAATATACAGTACAGTTAACTCTCCTTAAATGCACACCCTTGGGACCAAAATTGTAAAGGTGTGCATTTAGAAAATAATATAAAAATGTGCATTTAGAGAAAGTATAATAAATTTATATAATTTAAATACATTTATTTATAAATATTTATATATTATTATAATTATTTATATTTAAAAATAAATTATTTATTTATTTAAATATTGTTTATTTTTTAAACTTTATTTATTAATTAATTAATTAAAAATATTGGTCTAGACTAGTTTGTTGCATTGTATTAGCTTTTTTTCCTTTAATATATTTCTCAAGAATATTTGTTATTTTTATATACTTGCATTTTCTTGTTGTAATAAAAATGCTTGTACAGTTTCTAAACTTTGTAATGCCATATTAATATCAATAGATGTTATTTCAATACTATCATCTATGTCCTTTAAATTATTTTCATCTTCTATTATTTTAAATATATCTATAAGTTTTGCTATTACCTAATTATCATTAGGCATTTCATAAACAATATTTTCTTCAGGAATTGACAAAAATTCATTAACTTTCATTGATTCAAAAAGATAAAGTTTTTCAAAAACTTTACTAAATTCATCAGGTATAGCATTTTTAGCTATACAAACATTATCTGAGAAACTTTTTAAGTTAAAATTAATACTAATAGAAAGAATATTAATATAACACCAACAATTACAAATTGTTTTTTCTGTAATTTCTTTTCATATTTTAATAATATATTGAAAAGTTTAAAAATATTTATTTTTAAAAATTCTATTTGTTGTTTAGCTTCAATCTGTTTCAACATCCATCTAAATATTAATAAAAATTGGTATTTTTTTATATAAAACTACTGTAAAATAATAATAATAATAATATTTTATAATATTTGATAGTAATGATAATATAATTTAAATACTATTATGATTTCAGCATCTATTAGCTAGATTTTTGTGATTGTATTTAGTAGAAAAAAATAAATATCAATGTGTTAAAACATTAAATCTTCTAATCTATAACTTGAACAATTGTTAATAAGCAATAAAATACAATTATCACCATGTTTTTTAGTAACTTTCTTATTAAAATACTGTAGCTATTCTTGAAAGCATCCAAGCCTTTGTATTATTTCAATATATTATTGGCAAATTATAAATATTGACATGTTTAAAACATCATAATTTTGTATATTTGCTAATTATAGGTAGATTTGGCTTATGCAATCCATTAACATTTGTAAAAAATACAATTGAAAGGTGTTCTTTATCTTTCTTGCAATCTACAAGACATCTCGTAACCAATATCTAATCTAGTTCCAATCTAAAAATAAATTTAATATTAGATTTTTATATTAAATATTTTAATATATAATTATTATATTTATTAATAGAAAAGACTAGTCTTATTCATATTATAAATATGTTCAGGAAAATAATTAATACATATTTCATGCAATTGTGATAAAACCTCAACAATAATATTCAAATTGATTGATACTTCTTTTCCTTGAAGTTTTATTTAATGAATATTGTTTTAAATTTTAAATTTTTGAAGCTATCCAATAAAAAAGTTTAATGCACTTTCAGGAATTTCCAACCCATTTGCTAACATTTTGGTTTGTTTAGTTAAAATAGCATCACTTAATATTATTTAATGCTGACGTATTAAGACAAATTCCTTAAGTACTTGTTCAAGCTCTGGATATATAATATAACAAACCTGTGTCCTTTTGTATTTGAAGCAATAATTTTTTCAAAAAGTAACTGGTTACTTCTTTGCAAAATTTGTGTTATAATGAATTTATTAACCCTAACTTGCCATTTATTTTTGATTTAATTAATATACTCTGTATAGAATTTCTTATTATTATGAGTATATAAACAAAGTTCATATTTTTGTAAATCAGTCAAAGTTGTTTTACTTTTTGATAACATGTTTATTAATGATAAAATTTTAGTACAATCTTTTAACTAACAATTAATTATAAAGAATATGATTCCGATAGTATGCTTAAATAGTAGCTAATATGTTTATTATATTAAAATGTTCTGTTCACTGTTAATGTAATTGACTATCGCAATAATAATAAGTTAGCCATAATAATAATTAGGTAATAAAAAAAGAATTGTTAAAAAAATTATGCAATCTAGCTTTAGCCTTGTCATTATATTATTACCTATTATTCTATATCCAAGTCATCATAGTCAAATATAAAGAAGTAACTTAGAAAAGTTAAAAAAATAGCATATGCCTCAAATTATTTACCTGACAACAGTTACACAAATCTTTACTAAACTTAGTGACAAATTCACTATTATATCATTCATTTTTGGTGATGACTATACATGTTTTCTTATTACTATAAAAAGAAATTTGATTAACAATATGATTCTGAATTAAATATGATTTCCAATTACTTACTAATTGTTACTTAGTAATATGAACATAATACAGTTTTTGAAAAATGTCTAAATTAAATATGAATACATATATAATGATGATTATTTGTATAAGAATGAAGTTTAATATTTTATTTTTTTTAGAGAACCATTCAAGGCATAATGAGAGAAAATCACTTAAAAGAAAGAAAATAAATATTCATCAAATATCCATGGCACAACATTTAAAAGAGCGAAAAGAACCTCCTGAAACATAATCTATATTAGTTAATAATAATCAATTATCATTCATACTATGATAAAAGAAAAAAAATATTAAAGATAAAATGTGATACAACTTCATTTAATTTTCTGTGATGAAATATTTGAAAGAAACTAATAGATGTAATAAGACTGGAAGGAGAGACAAAAACTTTGCAAACTAAAAGATATAAATTCAAAGATAGATCAGAAAAAGACATACATTTATAAATCAAATATTACAACATTACTAGCTTTAGGAATTGAACTATAAAAAGCCGAAAGAAATAAATATTTATTTAAAGAGAGCTGCACCAGAATGATACAAAGACTATCAAAACAAACTTATCAATTG